TCCTCATATACTCTTTGATTCATTGACACTGGCTTCCTTGCTATTCCTCAACATCTACCAACTCTGGACATTTTCATTGGCTACCCCTCCTCATGCCTCTCTCTCTCCTCTCTGTTTCCCAGTTTTTCTAGCTTTTTTCAAGTCTCATCTAAAATCTCACCTTTGTTAGGTGGTACAGAGGAAAGAGTACTGGATCTGAAGTGAAAGAAATCTGAGTTCAAATTCAGCCTCAGATACATATTAGCTATATGACCCTGGCCAAATCACTTAACCTCTATCTCTGTCTCTGTCCCTCTATCTCACAGAGGTTGAAATAATACTTGCAAAATACTTTGCAAACTTTAGGGTGCTATAAAAATGCTATGATGATGGTTGATGATGATGATGATGTAAGAAGCCTTTTTCCAATCTTCCTCAGTCTTAGAGCCATCCTCTGAGATCATATGCTGTTTATAGATTGTCTACATATAGTTTGCATTATCTCTCCTTCTCCCCCCCCACCCCAGACTGTGAGCTCCTAGAAAGTGGGGATTGTCTTTTCTTTTTTTGTATTCTTAGTGCTTAGCACAGTGCTTGGAGCATAGAAGGCACTTAAATCCTTGTTGGCTTGAGTTGACTTGCATTTGTTATTTCTAAAATGGGGATAGAAGAATCTAGGAAAGGTCCATGGGAGAGAAAGTCTAGTCTAGTTTCCCTTTAGGAAAGAGAAAAAAAAACCAAACAAACCATAAAACAAAACCCTGCACTGGTTCTCCAATAAAGAACATGTATTTGTTGCTTTGCTTTCCCCTAGATGTGGTCTGATCATTGCTGTTGACCCACTTTGGACACACCCGGTCTATCTGGAACCAGAGTTAGGGTAGGAACCACTTGGCCCATCAGACTGGAGCTCACTCCATTCACTAGGCATTATTTGGAATTAAATGCTTCCTTTGCTTCATCCTCTTTAAAAACCTGCCAACTGTTTTAGTCTCCTGGAGCTAAGGATGTGCTGGTAAATATTTATTAATTGGCTGGGGAAGGGGGAAATGTATGCAGGATGCTTTAAAATTTAATCTGCCTTATTAATATTTTCATCACTTTTATAAGACTAAACAATCAGCCAGACAATAAAAATCAAGCTCTGATTTGAAAATTTCTTATTTTTGAGGTGTAAATGCTCACAGTGAAAATATAACAATAGGGGGGCAGCAAGGTGGTGCAGTGGATATAGCACCGGCCCTGAAGTCAAGAGGATCTGAGTTCAAATCTGGTCTCAGACCAAACACTTGACACTTACTAGCTGTGTGACCCTGGGCAAGTCACTTAACCCCAATTGCCTAAAAAGCAAAAAAATATATGTATATAACAATAGGCTCTCATGAAGCCATAAGACTTGGATCCCATGCAGCCCCACTTTGTAGCATTATGTCTTTGGGCTAGAAAGGACTGAAGTCCTTGTTTCCAGGTAGGCCTCTAGATCTGAACTGAATCTGTTATTTCTAAATCCCACAGCCACTGTTAGGAAGTTGTACCAATGTTTATTACTATTGTTTCCATGAAATTTTCCTCCATTCTAACTTAAATCTCACACTCTTAGATCATTTTCCTCTTGACCTAATCTCACTGGAATTACTGCACAGAGCCCCCCTGTATGTTGGAGAACACTGTTAGTTCCTGAAACTTCTCTTCTTCAGACTAAACAAATCTTTGGGCTTTACAGATCCTGTGTTTTCCAACCCTCTACTCAGATTTACAGCAATCTGGGGAGGTTAAATGAGTATTTCCATGTGCAAAAATACAGCACAGGAATTTCTAACTTTATCCATGGAGATCTCTGATTGAGGTTTCAAGCTCTTACCTGGGGCAAAGCCTTAGAGTTAATCATAGGGACTAAGGCTTTAAAGAATCAAAAAGGGCCTGCCGGAAAAGTCCATTTGGGTCTAACTGTCCCAGTGCGGTGTCTGATCTGGAAATGAGGCTACTACTCTTGAGTGGATAGACACTTGGTTCCCCTTCCTCTCTCCTTACCCCATCCCCAATTCTTTGACATTAAATCAGACAGACTTGGGAGGAAAATGAAGTGTCAAGGAGAAGTAGGGTGGAAAAAAGGCAAAGGTAAAATAAATTTTTCCAAAACCTAAATGTAGGTTTCTTTCCTGCTTTGGTCTTAGCTGTGTCAAGATATGAGATTTAGAGATATGGAAGTAACCCCAAGAGTCATCTAGTCGAATGCCCACATTTTAGAAATGGAAAGTAATGAGTCTCAGAGAGGATGACCATGCAGATTGTAAATGGCAGCCTTCTCTGAACACACACAATACCTCCAACTCCTCTCCCTCATACAAAGCCAGAAAAAGAGTCAATAAAGTTGAATTCCATTGTAAAGGCATCTTATCATAGCTTTGGCAACCAAGTTGGGTAAGTATCAGGTTGTATTGTTAAAGTATCTTTAAAAAAGACCAGGGCTACTAAATTCACAAACAGAACTGGGCTTTTATTATGAAACAACCCTGCAAATATATCATGAAGTCCTGTGGATTTAATACATTTCCTGAGGAAGGAGGATCATAGTGTGAGTTGTTCACAGAATAACAGGTAGCCTGCCGTTGCTTTCAACGGGACTGTTTATTATTGAAATATCAACAGTATTCCTTCACAGAAACAATTACTCAGTCATCACAGAACTGACACACAAACATGACAAAATAAATACACCCAGAGCACACTTCATTTGAATTAAATATTAAATAAATAATAAATACAGCATCTTCATTTCCTGTTATCAGTGCCTGAAACAAGAAGAACCCAAAAAAAAGGGGGAAAAAAAAGGAAAACTAAAAAGTGTCTCTCTCAGGTCCCACCCCTCCCATGAAAAAAACCCCAAATTATCAAAACTTCTCAGTTACAAAATATCTTTAAAAAAATCCCATTATTAAAAGAATAAATAACAAAATATATATAAAATAACTTGGTCACATCAAAATTACAATTAGGAGCCATATCTAGATTTGTTTTGCAAGTGTGGACTCTACTATGCTCAACACATTGTATTTTTCTTTGTTTCCATCTATTTCCTTCTCATGGTACCCTGGTATGGTCTCTAGTTTAAAATAGTATAAAATTAATAAATAAAAAATGTTAAATAAATAGCAAATGTTAACATAAGGTGTTGTGAATATAAATTACATACATCTTGCCAAAATTAAATAATTTACAGAATAATCAAACTAACTACTTTTTTTTTCTTCCAGGAAGTGCAATTTTCTACTTTTAAATACTAACTCTGAATTGCAGTCACCATCAATTTGGACTCTATTTACATGTTAAGAACATTGTGTTTTTAACACATTAAAATTTTCTTTTCCTTTTTTCTTTTTCTTTTTTTTTGCACCTTGAATGGATTCTCAAAAGAAGTGTAATCTTTGTGATACTGTATTTGGAACTTAATTATTGACATATCTAATGTCGTCCTACTCCCCCATCCCCTTACCCTTCATCCATCACCACCACCCTGTCACCTATGGCCCAGAAATCAGTTCTACCTGAAAGCAATTTCCCCCAGGGAATTCAAGAAACAGCTTGGCTGTTCAGTGGATCACAGTGGCTGTTCAGAGAAGCCTGAAAAGGTAAAGAATGTCATACACTGTGGTTCTGTGGGGTTCTAGTTTTGCATCCCTCTTAAACTTCTGAAATGACAGCAAGTGCCTCTAAATTGTAGTAGATTCTGGGTGCCTGCACTATCTGTAGCCTAGGGAAGTGTGAAGGGTGGAGAGTAGGGTGGGCTTTGGGCCAATACATCAAGCATTTCTTTACAGCCTTGGAAGAACCATTCCTCTGATCCTTCTTTGCTCCTAAGGATGTGAAACTAGAGGTCATCCCTACAAGAACATTGTGGTGGTTTCAGTTCTTTAAGTGAGCAGTGGGCTACAGTCATGGAGTGGCGGACTAAAGGGATTCTTTGGAAGATCTATACCCAAATTTTTCTCTCTTGGAACAGTGCTTTTAGTCCCAATAGCCTTGCCAAAAAATTATATATATAATATATATAAAATTAAATTAAAAAAAATAACACAATCTGCTACCAATCAGAGACACAGTCTCGGCTGGACCCCTTTGGGTCTTTGCACACTGTATCTTTAACCATGTCTAAAAATATTTTCCTGGTGCTGAGATGCCATCTCTCCCACCAGCAGAATGGCCTTGACAAGTAGCAGAACCAGAACTCTAGGGAAGCAGAGCTCCCAGAGTATAAGACAGTGGACCCTGACACACTGAGCATTGGTGTGAAATATCTGGCGCTGGTCTATTCCTAAACAGCTATTTTCTCGTGGTTACGACAGACAAAGGAATACTGTAGTTGCAAACTCCAAAAGCTTCCCTGAGAACCTTTTCCATTGCGCTTTCCACTGGAGATTCGGAACTGCTCTGCGGATTTCTTTTAGAAAATAAAAATAAAGGACTTTTTTTTAAATACTTCAAAGTTTCTACTCATTGGCTATCTGAGTACCTTCAGGGTCTGAGGCCTTGAGGAGGTTCATGCCAAAAGGTTACTTGCAGCTCTGGTGCCGCATTACATCAGCACAGGATTGTGGATGAATGGGGGAGGGGGCTGTATCTTCACAGTCACAGACAATGGGTGTTTAAGTTGGTCAGTCTCTTAGGTAACACTGAACTGCAGACCTTCCTCACCTTGGATGCCCTCTGCCCTCCTCTCTCCTCAAGTCCCCCAAGCTCTTCAGCCAATCATAGGGTGCCATCTTGGATGCCCATCTAGTGTGTTGCTATGAGTAAGAAAACCCCCTACCATCTGCAAGAGGGACTAGGAGGTAAATAATAAAATGGAGTTTGATTCAGTTCTTCTTATAAATGGCCTCTCGGTTATGTTTTGGTCCTTTTCATTCATTAAACAAGTTTCACAACTTGTAAACCTGAATACTTGGGAGTGAAGGTTTTCATCTTCTAATAGCCTTTAGTTAGTCATTGATCGTTTGATGTGGGTCTATGCTGTTCCTGAAGTTCTAGACCTGGATCCCCTTGACGGCTTGCTTGATGCTCTCAAGCAGGTCCTTGTTTTCCGGGTTCTGGTAGCACTCTTGGTTGGTGTACATGTCAGTAAGGGTGTTGACATAAGCATCAAAATTCTGTTCACTGATTGGCTCCTAATTTCAACACAAAACAAAGCCAAGTTACCTGTAACATCGATATTTATTGCCTCTTCTCCACCCACCCAAACTAGGTTACAGTGGTTTTCTGGGCATCGCTAACTTAGAGATGGAGAAAACATAAAGGATGGAGAGGAGAGGAAACTCAAAACCTCAGTCACAAACCACAGCGAAAGTCTTTAGTGTCTACTGAGAGAGAGTAAAAACAAAACAAAAGAAAACAAAAAAAAACCCAGTTCCTTTTTTCTCCTCTCCCCTTTCTTTTCTCTTCCCCCTCCCCATGTACTGAAAATTATTTCCTAGGAATGGAAAAAGGGAGCCAGCAGCCCCTTATGTTTCCCGACTTGGACTAATTCATAGGATCTCATCTTTTCTTTTTGTAGCAACACTATGGCAACATGGTCTCTGCTGTTGGATCTCATTAAATTAAGCCAAACGTGCTGTCTTTAAAACCATTATTTTATTTTATTTTTGGCTGCAAGCTTTTCAGAGTAGAATAGGAGCTACTTCCTTTCTAACAGCAACTGTGAGACCTGGATGATGCAGAATTCTAATCCCTCCCCAGCTTCCCTTGGTTCATCTAAGATTAAAGGCCCCGGGTGCCCTGTTTGCTGATTGTAGTCACTGGCCCCAAAACAGAACAATGGATGTAAGGAAAGAATCAGCAGAAATGACACAAAAGGGACACTCTCTATAAGCTCCAGAAACACATGTACCAATGACCCCAAAGGCAGAGATGCATTGTCTTGGTCAAAATATACATTGCCTCACAATGTAGGCTAAATTTCTAAACTCAAATTTCTTTGAAAGGGGAAAAATACATAGGTATACACTAAAAAATAATACCAAGTATAAGCTACATTTGGATTTTATAGAAATGAAATTTTTATCGGGGAAGGGAGCCTAGATTTGTACCAATAAAGTATGTCAGTAGAATGCAGAGGTAAGCTTTAGTTACTTTAACTCCTGAATTGTGCAATTCCAATGCATGTAGTGATTGTGAATGCTCCTTACCATATGTGGAAGGCGGATGTTGGCTAGACTTTGGATGAGTGCCTGGCTTAGGCCAGAAAGCTCCAGGAACAAGGCTTCATTCTGTTCCTCTATGATCTTGTTTTCTTCCTCAATGTTCTTGAGATTTTTCTCCATGGTGGATATCTATGTCAGCAAGGGAAAACAAAAGGAGGGAAAATCAATCATCTCCCCTTTTCATCTCTCTTCATATTCTTCATCTATATGCTTCTATTGGATGTGAAATACAGTCCTGCACCCTCTGGTTTCACAAAGAAAGGAAAGGGTTTGGTTCAGGCTCACCCAGGTCTCCCTTAAGGGCAAGGGAGTGAGTTCAAGGTGTCCCCCTTAGGATGATCATTAATAGTCTGACCCTTTGGTTATTCTGTGATCTCAAATGCTAAGGGGAGGAAAAAATGCTAGCTAGAACAAATACCTCAAACTTGTTTTCCTAAGCATCAGTTCAGGGCACCAGGTAACTGGGGAGGGGATGCAATGAAAGGAAGGGATAGGACAATAATGATCTGCCAGCAGAAAAGTACTCCATGTTTTGACTGGATCTTTTGAACAATATTTCTACAGAATTTAGAAAGTTTAGAATTAGGATTTTAGGCTTTTAACCTACTAAAACAGGCCTCCTCATGCCATAAGAGTGAAACTGGGTTGTTGAAAGCTCTGATTTCAGACCACAAGTTCTGGTATTGTGGGGTTACAATCTGTGTCAGTGGAAGGAGGAGCCTCTGATACTAGAAATAGTAGACTTTTATCATTTTTGCAATCTCTAAAGAAAAGGTAGGTTCATTTGGAAACTCAGAAAAGCTTAAGTGTTCCTCAAGGTCCTGAAGGGGTTAAAAGCAAAGAACAGTATCCAAATTATTAGCATAATAAACCTGCTTAACTTTAGACTCAGAGAACCTCAGCATTGGATGATACTTCAGAAGACATCTAGTCCAGTCCATGTCTGAACATGAGCCCCTCTGTAACATTGCATAAAAGTGGCCATCTAAAATCTAACCAAAGACTTCTAATGACTGGGAACTTAGAAATATGAGCTATTATCAATACAGTGCTTTAAATTTTCCCAAGTGCTTTATGTATCTTCTCTCCCGTGACCTTCCTAACAGTCCTGGAACATAGGTGCCATTATTGCTCCCATTTTACAGATGAAGAAACTGAAGTCGGAAGGTTAAGTGAATTTCCAGGGTTGCACAGCTAATGACTATTTGAGGCCCTTCCTAATTCCAAGTTGAGTACTCTATCTCCCATGCTTTTTACCTGTCTTGATTCCTCCACAGTTCTACCACTCCACTTTTGGATAACTCTAATTGTTAGAAAGCATTTTCCTTATAGTGAGTCAAAAACTATTTCGCTGCAAATTCTATCAATTATTCCTATTTCTGCTCTCTGGGGCAAAGCAAAATGAATTTTAGTAGCCTCTTCTACATGACAGCTATTCAAATCTTTGCAGATGACCACTATTGTTTACTCCACCCTCCCTCAAACCTCTTATTTCAGTTAAATATTCCCAGTTCTTTCAACAAATCCTTTCATGGAATTTTTTTAAAGATTCCCCTTGAAATCCTCATCTCCGTCCATTGCTCACATTCTATCTTGACAATGTGCTTCCTAAAATGAGGCCTCTGGAGTGGAATTCAGTACTTCATATGGGATACAACCAGGCCAGAACACAGTGAGAATATCACCTCTATCTTTATGGACTCCATGCTTTGACTTATTGCAACCTAAGATGGCATTAATATTTTTTGGCTACCATGTTAACATTGTTAACTCATGTGGAGCCTGGAATACTCAACACCCTACCCCATGCCCCTAAGTCTTTTTCATACGAATTTTTATTCTAGTCATATCTATCATACCCTATATTAAAACTGGTGTTCTGTATCCTAACTGTGGCATAGGGATTAGAAACCAGTAATCTAACTTAAGGAATAGAGTTAACACAAATCTAATTCAACATGGAAATGAGATGAATAGTGTGCAATGGAAAGAACATTAGATTTGGAGTCAAAGGAACTGATTTCAAATGTGGCCTCTGCCACTTAGTAGATGTGTTATTTTGGACAAATCACTGAAACAATCAGGCCCTCATTTTGCTTATATGGAAAATGAAGAGGTTGGACTAGATGACCTCTAAGGTCCCTTCTAATTCTAAATCTAGGATCATAAGTCTCTTAGGGAAGATCATCAAAGACTAAGCAATCTCCAAGATGGAATCAATTGGATAAGGAAAACTCAAAAGGATTGGTGGCATTCCTTTCCATCTAGTGCAGTCATTTTGCAAATGAGGAAACTAAGGTCTAGAGAGGTAAAATAAATTGTGCAGGGTCATGCATCTGTGGCTGCAGTGGTGTCATTTCCCACTGCCAAGAGCGTAAGTGGTTGAAAGTCAGGGGAAGCACCTGCAGTGGAGTGTTTGATTATCACCAGGAGAGAGTGCCTAAGCATTGACTGGAATGGGCTGATATCACGGGAGGAATCAGCATTGGGGAGAGGCCACTGAAAAGATCAAGCTGAGTTGATGGATCAGGCATGCCAACATGCCAACAGAGGGGGAATACAAATGGGTAATTAGCAGTCTTGCAAAGGCTGATTATGTCCCAATGAGGTTTGAATATTGGTCTGTCAGCTGAATATACTTGTAGTAATAAGAGCTACTGATTCTATTCTGGTCGTTCACATTGGACGGGTGCTGTATTTCTCCCAGGCTTATTATCATGACTTTTTCCAAGTAGGACTCAATCACCTGTTCTCTACTGAATTCACATTGGTACATTGAGTACTTCTTATGCCTTCTCCCTTTTAGAAAAATCCCTAGAATAAATCCAAAAGCAGAAATGTCTCTAAGTGTCCAGGATGGGGGAATGAACCAATGAATGTGAGAGCGAGGAGTCCAATTAAGCTCCCACTCCAATTCAGCAGCACTTTCTGGGCTGCTAGCCTCAAACTTGGTTTGTTTCATGGGTACACAGAGCTACCTTTCCCATGATGCCCAACTAGAGTTCAAACTATCTGTTCTTTTTAAATTTTTTTTATTAATTTATTTTGATTTATCAACAATCATTTCCATAAGCTTTTGAGTTTAAAATTTTTCTCCCCCTCCCTCCCCAAGACATCGTGCAATCTGATATAGCCTTTTCATATACATTCCTATTAAACACATTTTAACATTAGTCATGTTTTAAGGAAGAATTAGAACCAGTAGGAGGAACCACAAGAAAGAGGAAACAAAACAAAACAGAAGAAAAAATAACAAATAGTATGCTTCAATCTGCATTCATACTCCATAGTTCTTTCTTTGACTGTGAATAGCATTTTCCATCATGAGACTTTTGGAGATGTCTTAGATCCTTGCATTGCTGAGAAGGGCTAAGTCTATCAAAGTTAGTCATCGCACAACATGTCTGTTACTGTGTACAATGTTCTGCTGGTTCTGCTCACTTCACTCAGCATCAGTCCATATAAGTCTTTCCAGGTTTTTCTGACGTCTGCCTGTTCATTATTTCTTATAGCACAATAGTATTCCATTATACTCATATACCACAACTTGTTCAGCCATTTCCCTATTGATGGGCATCCCCTCAATTTCCAATTCTTAGCCACCACAAAAAGAGCTGCTATAAATATTTTTGTACATGTGGGTCCTTTCCCCATTTTTATGATCTCTTTGGGATACAGCCCTAGAAGCGTTATTGCTGGGTCAAGGGTATGCACATTTTTATAGCCCTTTGGGCATAGTTCCAAATTGCTCTGCAAAATGGTTGGATCATTTCACAACTCCACCAACAATGAATTAGTGTTCCAATTTTCCCACATCTTCTCCAATATTTATCATTTACTTGTTTTGTCATGTTGGCCAATCTGATAGGTGTGATGTGGTACCTCAGAGATGTTTTGATTTGCATTTCTCTAATCAATAGTGATTTAGAGCATTTTTTCATATGACTATAGATGGCTTTAATTTCTTCATCTGAGAACTGCCTGTTCATATTGTTTGACCATTTATCAACTGGTGAATGACTTGTATTCTTATAAATTTGACTTAGTCCTCTATATATTTTAGAAATGAGGACCTTATCAGAGACACTGGTTGTAAAACTTCTTTCCCAGTTTTCTGCTTCCCTCCGAATCTTGGTTGCATTGGCTTTGTTTGTGCAAAAACTTTTCAATTTAATGTAATCAAAATTATCCATTTTGCATTTCATAATGTTCTCTATCTCCTGTTTGGTCATGAATTCTTCTGTTCTCCATAAATCTGACAGGTAAACTATTTTTTGCTCTGCCAGCTTACTTATAGTATCAACCTTTATATCTAAATCATGAAGCCATTTTGACTTTATTTTGGTATATGTTTTGAGATTTTGATCTATGCCTAAACTATTTGCCCTTTGAGGTCTTTTGTACCACACTCTGCTATCTCCAAGGCTGTGGACTATAATAACACAATGTGATCTGAGGCCATTATAGTCAGGGAAGATTTCAGGGGGCCTCAAAAAAGATTTAAAGATACTGAAAGACTGGGTAGCACTGAGCTGCTGCTGCTACTTATAATTCTCTCTCTGGCTCCCGGACTATAATATTTCCAGAGCTTTTAGGGAAGATACAGCCTAGGTAAATGAGCAGACTTGGAGGAGTGCCTGACTCTGGTTGGAGAGCTCCAGGAACAGGGCTTATTTCTGCTTCTCTATAATTGATTAAGACCCTTCATAATGCTAATTAAGGGGAACCATTTTTATTCAGACTGTTGAGTAAAGAAGGACCATCTATGAGATTACTTGCAAATACCATAGAGCCAGCATATTCTTTATGCATTGCAATTTATCTTTGGGGTAAGCCTGAGACATTGTTTGAAAAATTCTCCAGGATCACAAATATTTCCAATGACTCACAAGATGGATATTAGCCACATTTAAGTTATTTACCATTTCCCCTCCTTGCAAAAGCTTCAATTATTTCCACCACCTGCTTTTCCTCTTCTTACTGTTCAGAGACGTGTTCTTGGATTTAGGCCTTGTTCTCACCACACAGGTTTCCATAAATACTTAGTGAGATGGGCATAGCTGGGGGCAGGGAGGGGGGAGTTCCCTGGCAGATCCCGTGGGTGACCTTCAGCCCCAAGGGAAGCTGCT